TATATATATATATATATATATATATATATATATGCTGTCTATCGAGGATGGAGTCAGAATCGGAATTTCAATATTTTATAAACGGAGTGACAATTTGGTTGTGAAGACTGTGATTGAGGATGTTACCGACGGGTTTTTCCATATCCGTGGACTTCTTTGTTCAGCTTAATTCTTTTATTTTCTTGTTTGATAGGTCACTTTGAAAAATAATTTGAGGCGATGACTTAATGTTTTCCTGAGTGTCAATCATTTTCCGATTTGTTCAAAGTGACCTGCTGCCTTCTTATTATGTGATATACCGGTTTTCCTTCGTAGTGCATTAATTCTTGGGGTGACACTGTGACGGGATGTCTGAGACAATTTTTAAGGCGATGAAAGATTCAAATTTGTAAAACTTTTTGGGAGGGATTTTCATGGAATATCATACCTTCATGCCTTTTCTGTTCTTGCAACTTTTTTAAGCCGATATCGTCTGATATGAATATTATTTTTGCATAAATTGTGTTAATGTCCTTGATGCGCATCGAACATTTTCACTCCAACATTTTAATTCTAACATCAATCGTGGGCAGCTTTTTTCCTGTTTAAAGAGAAAAAGATTTTTTTAGAGGCAGAAGCGTGACTTTGTCATTTTCCACAGATAGATTTGTTTAATCGGATTCACATTATGTGTGTTACTGGCGTAAATCTTGATTGAATGCTGGATTCCTAGGAATGGTTTCCTTAGATTTAAGGATTGGCGGCAAGGAAGGGACTGGGACTTCCAAACGGTTTAAGGTTTTCTCCAGAACATTGCAATAATATGGATGAATGATGAGAAAGCTGCTCTGTAATATTATCATGGGCTTAATATTGTAATAATTGATAAGAATAATGATGATAATAATAATGACGGTAACAAATGGTAGTGACAATGGTAGTAATAATAATGGTGGTGGTAATAATAATGACAACAATTAACAATAACAATAACGATAACAGTAACAATAACAATGACAATAGTAGTAAATGATAATAATAATGGTAATAATGATAATAATAATAATAATAGTAGTAATAATAATAATAATAATAATAGTAATGATAATAATAATTAATAATAATGGCGATAATAATAATAATAATAATAATAATAATAATAATAATAATAATAATGATAATAATAATAATAGTGA